ATCTACTAAAATTCTCCATTGTCTAAATCGCGAAGCTGTGGAAGTCATCAATAGCAAAACATAGTTGTAACAGCAAGGTGATAATTAAATAATAAATAATGTTTGGCTCGATATTCTTCTGTCTTTGGTTCTGAAGAGTTCGAGCCTCACTTGAGACGTTGGTGAATGAAAGAAAGTTTCCAGTATATACATAAAAGTAATAAAAAAAAGAATGACACTCATAACAACAATTAATTAGAACGTCGGTTAAAACAAGGAAATGTAAACGCACGTTTGCCGTGTGTACCTTTCTTGGTGCCGTTCAAAAACGCACGGAACACGAACGGACTGCAGTTTACTCCGGTGTTCTCCAGATAAACGTCCGCTGATGCCACGGGCAGCAAAGGGTAGAAGTAAGCCGCGCTATGGCCCCACTCACGAATTTCACTCTTTCCTCAAGCCCAGAATATTAAGTCTACGTCAGCCACCATTATGTTTTATTTGTAAAAACATCTGCTTGAGATAAGATGGGCCCTGCTGGGGCAAGACAGGAAGCAGAAGAAGGGAAGACTATTAGCATTTTCTAAGTGCTCGCAAAAAGCTGACTCATAAAAAGGGTAGGGTAGACGGAGCGTTGTCTCGTGTTGTGAGATTATGAAAATGGTCGTAGAAGGACATTGTTAACTCTTTTCAGTGCATTCACCGCCTCGCGCATCTCGAAGAGGCGCACAATCACTTGGTGTCCTCCTCTCTCGTCTTCGATCGCAAAAAAAAGCAAAACGGAGGGACTAAAACAAAAGCGGAAATACCTTGCCCCCTCCACCCTCCCCCCCCCCCCCTTTTTTTTTGTAGAAATGTTTATTTGGGTTTTTGTGACATGGTTGTTAGGGTCTAAAAAAATAGATTCAGGGGCTTGGTGTTGCGAAAAAAAAAAAAGGCTCTGCGGAACTGAAGTGCCAAGCCTCCCTTTGCGCTCACTGAGCTCAGCTATACAAAAATGAAAAAAAAAAAAAAAACTTTATTTAGAAAAGGGGGGGGGGGGGTTGGTTCTGACAAAAAATGTAACGGATTACAAGGAATCCGTTACGTCAAAAATGTAAGGGAATTACTTTAAAATTACTCTAGAAAATATGTAATTATTCCGTTACTAAATTACCGATAAATGTAAGGGATTACAAGTAATTTCGTTACTTGTAATGGATTACGTACAAGTCTGCAATGGGACACATCAGCTACAGGTTTTCTTGGAGACCAGCTTTTCCAGCAGTCAAACTAGAGTCTTGTCCTATTCAGACAGGTTTTCTAAAGAGAAAAAGAATAGTTCGATCTTCCTTACCGATATCAAGGAAAAGTGTCTTGATATTGTCGTTATATTGTTAATCTTTTGCCTTAGGTCTAAACCTGCATCATTGTATCAGCATTTCTGACACAATTAATTTTCTCATGAGATAGGTCATTCTTACTAAGTTGTCGTTATCAGTAAGTCATTTCTGGAAATTCGGTTTATCGTCATCGTCTAATCAAGGACGATGCTGATCATCCACTAAATGGAACATGTCTAGGATTTTGCATCAATTGTGACTACTAAAGTCATCCCCTTTTAAATGTCTTTCAAGAGTGGCATTCGGTCAGGATGAGATAATGCCACACCTCTCTCATGTTTTAGAATTGTCCCTCAATTCTAGATAATGTTGCAGTCTATTGTGTCTCCATAAATTGCCAGGTATTGTGGTACATGTCAGTCCTTGAGACCTGAGTAAACTCAATTCACCGAAGTCCTTAACCATTCAAACTAAATGACATAATCTTTATACTTTGTCATCTAAGCATCTAAAGGTAAATCACATCCAATGGTCTTTTCACATGTATGTTTAGTAGAGGTGACTACAAAGGTAAAATGCTAATTCTTGTCATGCATATGTAAATGGAGTTTTCAAGTTTGACAGTGCAATTTTTGTTTTCTGATGTTGAATTTTGTTAGAGCACTGCTGTCGAGCAGAGGAGGTTACTGCCAATCCAGGGTTCAGCGCTGTGTGAATGTCTAAATAATTCCTGAACTTCACCACCACAGGACATATACGGTGTAGTTCTTTTTGTGTGATGTATGAGTTGCCATAAGAGCACTCGTAAAAGGAACATCTTATTTCTTGTGTTTAGCAGGACTTGCCTCACTGAATTCTTCCAAGGAAGAAAAGACGTTATTTCTCATGTTTTCAGGAATTGTCTAGCTGAATTCACTTGTGAAAGTGAGTGTTATTTCATGTTTCTAAAGGACTAGTCATTCATTTCACTTGCTGAGGTGAAAGTGTTATTCGTGTTTCGAAGGACTCGTCTTATAGCGAGATTACTTGAGTGTTCTTTGTTTCAAAAGGTTTCCAGTGACATTTTCACTTCCAGTGGAGATGTAGCATTCATGATCGTATTTTGAAAATGTATTTCTTTACCCTTATTTTCCCCCGACCACTTCACAATTATTTTCCTTGTAGTGATTGGTCGGTAGGGCTTCGTGTGCGTGTGATTTTCCATATCGTAAAGAGTAAGCTGTTCTTTTCGGTCTAGTACCAAGTTATCCAACAGTCATTTTGTCTAAGGGGGGAAAAGATGTAATGTGCCCTCAACTAGCTAGATGGCGCAAGAAGTCATGGTGTGTGGCGCTGCAAATAGATGGCGCCACTTGTCCGAGAATTGACATCCGCCCCTGCGAGCGGAAGTGTTGATCCCCGCGGATCTGAATGTTGTATGCTGGTCACGACAATAAGACAGTCTTCACAAAAACTCCGAGCTGGTGTGACGTCTCTTCCTTTCGTCGGGGTTCCCGCCTTGGGCCCCGCACCTCGGCACCCCGCTGCCCACGCGCCGGTAATGTAAGCCTTTCCAGCATCTCTACAGGCCTTTCGGGGCGCTGTCTTTATCTTAGCTTTCCCTGTCTCTTTCCACCCATTCGTAATGGCCCAAGCGACCACAACATCTTGGCGACGAGCTAAAACCACTACAGTACAGGCCTTGCATCATCCTCTTAAAGGGCCCCTGAAAAGAAGAAAAAAGCTTTTTAAAAACAGTCTGGTTGAGACACGCGTGTCGAAAAATGAATTTTACGCGAAAAAAAAAATTTTTTAGAGCAATATTGACTGCGCCAGACGCAATTTAGTCGGCAGTCACCTCCTTTCCACTTTTCTCTCTCTCTGCATGTCGGGCGCGTGGAGGAGAGGTAGTCCCCGCCTCTTCGTAGTGGATCGGCTTGGCGGCTTTCCTGGCTTGGCTGCGCCCCGCACGAGAGCCATTGCTACTTCCTGGCCGTGTTCCAAAATTGACTCGATCTTACGCCAGGGTGAGGGTTTTGTACTCTTGGCGTTCTAAAACCTACCCGCGTACAGCGTTTTTCAATCTGTGCTGTCACGTGATACGTTCCGCCGGAGAAACTCGGATCCATTTGGAGATTTGGAACACAGCCCCTGGCCGGCTGTCTGCCGGTCGAACGACATACCGCGTCGTATCGTGCACGTACCGTGGTCACCGTGGTCGTACACACAGTAAATAGTCGTCGCGGTGGGCCCCGACCTGAAGCGTCGGTTGCTTGAACGCTGCCAGCAGCTGGGCCTTCGCCCGTACGAGGACACGCCTCGCCAGCCGGAAGGCGTCCGCTCCGATCGCCGCGAGACAACCGCTCGCGAGGCACCCGCTTCGTCGCGGCGGAGCGGGTGCCTCGACGAGTTTGTTCGAGCCGCACGATCCTTCAAGCCGCCGCGAGGACACGCAGTGGTAACTGTTTTTTTTTTTTTATTAAACGTTGAGTGCGGTGCCGCGTGCCTCACTAAACTCTTTACGGGGACCACGGGAACCGACATCTAAACAAAAATTGGCACTGGCGCGCGCCAGAAAACAAACAAAAGATGAGGTAAACGGGACACACGAATCGCGCAAAGAAGAGCAGAAAAACAGAAACCTGTCACCCCGCGCCACTTCCTAAGTACTTACTATGACTGACTAACTAACACAAGCAACAAGCCCTCTTCAGAACGCGAAACGCGAAGACGGCGACCACGACAGAAAGCAAAATCAACAAAATGGCGAAGCTTTTGTTTGTTGTTTTGTTGTAGTATCCGAACGGAAGTTACGATTTTGTAAAACGTTTGTAAACAATTGCGACATTCATTCGATGGATTGTTTCTTAAACCTAATAATATGTAATTCAAAAGGCGATTTCAAGAGATCACGAAGATTTTAGAACCAACATCTAAGCTGTCACTCATTCTATTGGCCAATGAGAAGCCGATTTGAATGACCATGGTTACCAATGAGAAGCCGAGCTGAATGACCAGGAATTTGCGCGCAAATTTTCAAATAAATCTCTCGCCGTCAATATTGCTCTAAAAAAATTTTTTTTTCGCGTAAAATTCATTTTTTGACACGCGTGGCCCAACCAGACTGTTTTAAAAAAACTTTTTTTTTCTTTTCAGGGGCCCTTTAAGGGCACAGGGTAAGCCCTATACTTCCCATACATTTTAGGCCAAGTTGAGGAACATATTTCTTGGTAACTAATAGGGGTATCCCCGCAATAGATATGTCATTTTGTTCCAAATTTTGTGCTCTTTCCACTGAACTAGATTTATTAATACCAGATTAAAATTTTGTTTTAGATGAATTTTTTTCTTTTAGCACTAAAATACTGGCTCTCTTTGTGTATTTAAAAATTTGTAACATAAGAACTGTTAAGTTGAAGTTCTTAATTCTAGTTCAGTACTTGTCAACTCCAATGTAGGTGGCAGGGAAAAAAAATCAACACTCTATCCTGTAAGGTTTAGGAAATAATGGTACCTATGTAATAAAAAACATTGTTTCGAGATAATCGAGTTTAAAGTAAAAAGACAGGTGAATAACAATTTTTTACTGGCACCAAAACCATCAGAGTTTTTTGTTCAATAGCCACCAGCCTGGTAGTCACTGTCATAGTCATTTTTGCGCTTTTCGGCCTGTCGCCTTGCTTGCCGGGCCTCTTTTGTGAGCTGTCGTGCTGCTCGGTACGCAAAGTAGATTCTAGTGCGGTCAACTTCCATCAGCCACTTGATGGTGTTGCGCCCAGGGTTCAGTCCACAGGACTTCAAAACGCTGGCTCGTGCGATGCTACCATCATTGAATGTAATAACAGCATCAAATGTTGCCATCCTTAGAGTCTGTAGCCCAACGAAGACATTCTTTGGCGCGCGTTCCCAAACAACATGGTTAAATGACTCATTCGCATTTTGGGTTCGCCCATGTAGGCATTTCTCCAGGAGCTCAGCCTGCGAAAGCTGCCGATACACGGGTTTGATTGCCTCCAGGACAGGTGCAGGCAAGTTCTCCTTGTGGACGAACGGCTTGCCCTCTGACAGACTTTTGTTGAAGGCACACCAGGTATCGGGGCCCTTTGGACAAAGTCCATGGCATGGGTCGTTGTCCGTAGATAGTAAGTGGAAGTAGGTTGCCCAAACAGCCTTTCGCATTTCTTCAAGGTTTCCTACGTTCCTTCTGATGGCCAACCCAAAGTATGTTTGCAGTTTGTCTATCACTGCATCAGTCAGTCTTCCTCGGCCAGAAAGGCCCTTTCCATCTGACAGCTTTCCTGCTTTGTTTTCCTTTTTTAGCCTTCGTAATCTCGTGCCCATCCTTTTCTGGACGTGTCCTATGCACTCCAGCTTCGAGATTTCAACAGAATCACCGTACGGCTTTTTTGCCTTCACAGCCAAAAAGGCCTTACTGTCACCGTCCCCAAGATACTTGACGTATCGCACGCCATGGAGTTCCTCACTCCTGCAGAAAATGTTCAGGGCTCCTGTGACTTCCATTCCACCACTGGTGCCTTGGTAGTTGCCTTGGCACACCTCTTTGTGCCGAGGGTCGCTGGATGCATTCTTGTTGCCGCATTTTGCACAGCGCTTTGACATCGCTTCCACATCCAACACTTTCCCGGAGTCTACACTGGTCGCAGAAACTATACCATTGTTAGACGTGTGGCCACGCTTTTGCCAGCTTCCATCAAGGGCGACTGCGATGTCCTTGTCGCCATCATTCAGCTGCACAGCCTCTTCAGCAGCCCGCTTCATTGACTCCTTGGCAACAGCCTCAGTGTGACTTAGGAGCTCTTTCTTGTACTTTGCAAATTTGGTTGGCGGTGTAGGTAGGTTTAGCATGGCACAGAGTACACTTCCTGCAGCCGCTCCTTTACCAATACACCTCAAGGCGTAAACCAGCCTAAGGTTGGCTTCATAGAGGCCAGAACTCGTTTTCTTTGAGGTCTCAAACCGTTGTGAGGCGCTGCATGCTTCACAGTTCAAACTGTAAACACTGGCAACACCTACTCGCTGCGACAATATTTCGACGAGCTGAAGGCTTCCACCGCACAGTTTGCACACACAGCTCTGTGTAATCACGCCACATAAAACATCCATGTCCATTAGAACATACCCACTGTCACACTGTAGCACATTCTCTTCTTGGAACCACACAGAAAAACTGGAAAGCTTTGACGATGAGGAGCTGGCAGGTTCTGCGTTTGGGGTCTCAATGCGTCGCCGGGATCCATTTGCTTTTGCGAGAGGAGTGTACCGGTTTCCATGGAATTGACGCTGGTTGAACAGTTTCTTTGCCCTGGGCATCCTAACGTATCAACATCGAACGCACAGGGGCACAAAGTATAATAACTAGTCTGAGGAACGAACAGCGCTCCAACACAGGCGCATGAAAGCACACGTGGAAAAAAGAATGTGCACAGCGTCTCGGGATTGCCTTGGCTAAAGAAGAGCTGTGCAATAGTTGCCAGAACGTTTCTTAGATGTCGCTGATTCCAGTCAAGCTTTTAGAACTTGCGTTGAAATATTTTGTAGGAAAAATTAACGATAAACAATGAGCGTATCCGAAAAGGGGGTGTGGTCACCCGCGACTCTCTTTCGGGAAGACTGTTTTTTAGTCAGAAATATGCTTTTCTAAAATAAGTGTGACAATGGAGAATGTGCAGAAAAAAATGAACTTCTCAAATTGCAAAAAAAAAAACAATATCGATTTTTTTTCAAATTTTCCCTTACCCTGTGCCCTTAAGTGCTTCTTCAACGTCGTCCTTTATCAGTCACTAGAAGGCCGCCATTGGTATGGCACAGATGCCGTTCCACAGATGATGATAGTGATCAAAGTGGCCAGACTGAATTTCGGAAAGGGTCTATTTAAGGTGAAAAATAAAAACAGGATATTGAATGCTCCCGCAAACAGTGTCGCGCAGTGTACATAAACACCAAGGCAACCCTATCACAAAGCGAAGCATACGAAGAAGAAAAGACTCAATTCATTGGGGAAAAAGTATACATATAAATGGAGCACTCACTTTCGCTAATTTTCACTGTCTTGCTGTCTGAAGTAACCAAAAAAATATCTGTCCGTTTGCCGACTGCTTTAGTCTTTGGTCTTTAACCTTTAATTTTTGCCTCTGGAGAGCCGCGGCACCGCGGAAAGCAGCAGCCCGTACTACCGAGGCCCGCGGTGCCGCGTCTGGGGAACATGGTAATGTGATGAGTATATACGTGCAAGATGACGACGACATGCGTTGTTAGTATTGGGGAGGGTGGCAGTCCGATTCGCAGAAGTCCAGACTTCGTGGAGGCGGGTTGGGCGGGTGAGCAGCGAGCTATGAGGATCTTGCACGCCGTTCGATCAGTGCATGAAGGAGCACCAGGAACATAATGGCGCTATTTCTCACTGGGGTCCACTGGGGTCAAAGAATCATGCTCCAAGGAGGTAGTCCAGCCGAAGTAGAAGCTGCCGCCTCCGAGGAACCGAGCCCAAGGGCTCAGATTGAGACACCGCCGTCGCCCGGTGTGTCATCCTTTCAACGTCGTCGTCGTCATCTCGCATAGAAAAATCGAGCCCGCTGGCTTAGACAAGGCAGCACCTGTTCCCACCGTTCAGGGGCCGTGAAAGGATTGCGGCCAGCGATTTCTCGAAGCAGCCAGAGGTTCTTGACTACCGTAAAACGTTTTCTGGGGGACGCCTTTTCAAACAAAGTCTGCGCAGCTTCTTAGTGCAGCGAGGTTCATAAGGGTCAAGCGCGCTCCCAAGCATGATTTCAAATAGCGAGCACCCACCTTTCCAGAAAAACACCATCTAGTGAACCTTTACTGAGAGTGGAACGTACTTCTCAAAATGGCGACGATAGCGGAGCTGACGCTCCACGCTCAAATCCCAGAGCGGGTCGCGCATGCGCGATGGCGACTCCGCTTTCCATAGAGCGGAGCGGGAAACCGAAAACGGTCTACTAAAACTCTCTATTAGAGAGTTTTAGTAGACCGTTTTCGGTTTAGTTTTAGTAGACTGTTTTCGGTTTCCCGCTCCGCTCTATGGAAAGCGGAGTCACCATCGCGCATGCGCGACCCGCTCTGGGATTTGAGCGTGGAGCGTGAGCTCCGCTATCGTCGCCATTTTGAGAAGTACGTTCCACTCTCAGTAAAGGTTCACTAGATGGTGTTTTTCTGGAAAGGTGGGTGCTCGCTATTTGAAACCATGCTTGGGAGCGCGCTTGACCTTTATGAACCTCGCTGCACTAAGAAGCTGCGCAGACTTTGTTTGAAAAGGCGTCCCCCAGAAAACGTTTTACGGTAGTCAAGAACCTCTGGCTGCTTCGAGAAATCGCTGGCCGCAATCCTTTCACGGCCCCTGAACGGTGGGAACAGGTGCTGCCTTGTCTAAGCCAGCGGGCTCGATTTTTCTATGCGAGATGACGACGACGACGTTGAAAGGATGACACACCGGGCGACGGCGGTGTCTCAATCTGAGCCCTTGGGCTCGGTTCCTCTTTTAGTAGACCGTTTTCGGTTTCCCGCTCCGCTCTATGGAAAGCGGAGTCGCCATCGCGCATGCGCGACCCGCTCTGGGATTTGAGCGTGGAGCGTCAGCTCCGCTATCGTCGCCATTTTGAGAAGTACGTTCCACTCTCAGTAAAGGTTCACTAGATGGTGTTTTTCTGGAAAGGTGGGTGCTCGCTATTTGAAATCATGCTTGGGAGCGCGCTTGACCCTTATGAACCTCGCTGCACTAAGAAGCTGCGCAGACTTTGTTTGAAAAGGCGTCCCCCAGAAAACGTTTCACGGTGGTCAAGAACCACTGGATGCTTCGAGAAATCGCTGGCCGCAATCCTTTCACGGCCCCTGAACGGTGGGAACAGGTGCTGCCTTGTCTAAGCCGGCGGGCTCGATTTTTCTACGCGAGATGACGACGACGACGTTGAGAGGATGACACACCGGGCGACGGCGGTGTCTCAATCTCAGCCCTAGGCCTCGGTTCCTCGGAGGCGGCAGCTTCTACTTCGGCTGGACTACCTCCTTGGAGCATGATTCTTTGACCCCAGTGGACCCCAGTGAGCAATAGCGCCATTATGTTCCTAGTGCTCCTTCATGCACTGATCGAACGGCGTGCAAGATCCCCATAGCTCGCTGCTCACCCGCCCAACCCGCCTCCACGAAGTTTGGACTTCTGCGAATCGGACTGCCACCCTCCCCAATACCAACAACCCATGTCGTCGTCATCTTGCACGTATATACTCATCACATTACCATGTTCCCTAGACGCAACACCGCGGGCCTCGGTGGTACGAGCTGCTGCTTTCCGCGGTGCCGCGGCTCTCCAGAGCCAAAAATTAAAGGTTAAAGACCAAAGACTAAAGCAGTCGGCAAACGGACAGATATTTTGTTTGGTTACTTCAGGCAGCAAGACAGTGAAAATTAGCGAAAGGGAGTGTTCAATTTATATCTCTACTTTTTTTTTCCCAATGAAATGAGTCTTTTCTTCTTCGTATACTTCGGTCTGTGATATGGTGCCTTGGTGTTTATTACACTGCGCGACACTGTTAGCGGGTGCATTCAATATCCTGTTTTCATTTTTCACCTTAAATTCGAGGAGCTGACATTTGCCTATTGGTGTGGAATAAAGCGCTCGTTTCGGGCACTAATCTGAGCGACACATTTCCAGCTTTTTCGTATTAACAGTGGAGCGCACTGAATGTATCTGCCCTGGGGGTGACATGAAACCATTTTGCTTGAGTATACACTTCTTTTTATTTCTTTTGTGTGTTTATGAAAGTGCATTTTTCAGCTTAAGCTCCTGCCCAGTTTCTGCCTCACTTGTGCAACGGTCTTTTCTTGCAATAGAAGGCCACGCAACATAGTCTACTCTTACAATACTGAATTCAACAGTAACACTGTAATTTGGTTAGATGCAATATTCACGCGAACATCTGAGAAGTAAAATGGGAGTCGTTAGTAAACGTTTTTTATTGAAATATTTCTAGATGCCTTTCAGCCCAGTTGGACAGGTATTTCGCTCAATACTAAAGCTTGAACATGATTTACTGTGAGAAGTTTATGCATTCTAATATTAAACAAACAAAAAAATGCCCATGGTCTCTGTAGGTTTCGTCCAGCCGTCAAATTATGCCGTCTCCGCACATCACTGCCTGGCGCTTCACGACGAGCACCCTCTTGTGGTCTTCTTCTAATTTTTTTGATGGACGGCATAGGGGCATGCTGTGCGGTCAACAAAACCCCAACAGTTGTTCAGGGGTGTTCCCTTGTCCTTGACGGCCTAATAAAAAAGACAAAAAAAAACACTCTTACAACTCGGCAGTATTTAAACACTACCAAAACATGTGAAATGGGACTTATTACTCCTCTAAAGCCTGATTCACATGGTGCGATTTTCTTCTGCGAAATCGGTGAAGCGATGAACCGCACTTGCGAAATTTCGCGTTTCCTTTCACATTGATTGACAACATATGCGATTTTCCGCACTTGCGAAGCACATGGTTGGAACCCTTGAATTCGTTTGACGATACTAATTTCGATATTTAACAAAATTACGAAATTTTCAGATTTATTTATTAGCTTCTGGTAAAAAGTACGCCGTATACTTATATTTAGGGCCGATTCAGAGGTTCGCATCGACTGCATTCGCATCAACGAAAACGACGAAAACAACGAGTACGACGAATGCGACAAGGACACCGGTACAGCCACAGCTCATAACTGCTTGAGGAAGCTAGTTGTTGCGTTGCTTGGCATGTCGCGCAAGGCGAACAGTTGTCCCGGTGGCTTCGTCACGTGGACGATGTTCCATATTGAAAGAGGGCAAGTAGCAGCGCGTCTTGACTTTC